CCCTTATTGTTTCTTGTTATATATTTTGCTATCACTTAATTGTTTATCTTGCTTAGCATAAGTTGTTGGTGCACATAGGTGAGCCTAGTTGTTTTAGATTTTGTGTTTGACAAATTAAACACTAGTTTTATTCTGCATTTGTTCAAGCCTAAACCGTAATCATTTTAAAGCATCTATTCACCCCCCCCCCCTGCAGGCGACATCCACGATCTTTAAAGCTCACTGTCCGCGGATGCGGCCGGGCACGCCCGCGAGTGATTGAGGGGTCGGATTTGTTGTCCGCGCGCCGTCGACACGGTCTGGAGGTTGAAGACAAAGGGCATCTCAAGGATTTTGTAATTTTTTTTTGAGGTGCTTTGTACTGTTCGATGTTTCTTTTAATGCCGGGGTCCTTTGTAAAAAAAGATTTGTTGTTCGTGACTGCAGATACTCTAAAAGCTCTAAAGGTTCAAAATAGACCGGACTCGGAGAGTTTGTTGTGCTGATTTTCGAGTATACAGGTTCAAGTTTCGATTTAGTTTTTGCCTATAAGTTCAAGGCATGTCATCAAAATGGAAACACACATAACGAGCCAAATCAGTGTAATCTGTGTACCCGCGCCTAGAGTTGCTATTTTCTAGTCTAATTTGTTCGACGCTAAAAGTTGACATGCCAAATTTTGGCAACCGACAATTTTTGCCTATAGAATAGTTGCTTGCCAATTTTTGTTGCTAATCTCATAAAAAATTGTTGAATGTTGGTAACTTTTAATTTTGCTAAATATTGACTTGCCAAATATCAGCAATGCCAAATATTGATAGCAAACCAACCAGCCTTCCTGTAGACCCAAAAAAATCGAGTATAGCCCGTGTCGGTATGGTTGGAGGGCTCAACGTACCGGCTGACCCAACCGATATGTTTGATGAATCGGATCTGAGTAGCCCGGCTTCCGTTTCTTTCCGGATTAGGAGTCGTGGCGTCCCTAGACCCCTTATATATGCGGTAAACCTAGACCCATCGATGGATCGAAACAAACCAAGCCTTGCGTGTTTCTTCTCCAGGCTAAGAGACACCTGCGCCGCCGTTGCCGCAACAGCTATGGATCAACGGCCGATCTTCGATTTCGACCTGAACGAGATGCCGCCTCCGGACGATGGCTCCACCTTCACGGTCGATGCCCAGGCGGCCCGTGAACCCTCGCCGTCGCTTCTGCACGACGGCGTCACGGAGGATGCCTTGATGGCGCGTGAACCCTCGCCGCCGCCTTGGGGCGACGCCTCAGCGGCGCGTGAGCCCTCGCCGCCGCCTCCGCCGCAAGACGACGGCATGGGCGATGATGCCACGCCGGAGATGTTGGACCTGGACGGCTCGGTTTCTCTCGTGTGCGATGACGACGATGAGGAGGAGGAGGAGGGTGAGATCGGATCGGAGCCGCCGTCGCCCTGTGAGTCCGACGCCGCGCGCTCGGCCTCACCAACACGCTCGCCCTCGCCGGCGAAGAGGGAGAGAAGCTGCTCTCCCGCGTATCCTGCCGAGGTGTCCGTCGCTGGACGCACCGCGGACAGGCCGACGGCGCGCCTATCGTCTTGCGTGGTCGTGAATGGCGCCGTCCGTTTCTCTCCGGGCGTGGAAACGAACCCGCCGCCTCCGACTCTTCCGTCGCCGTCGCCGTCAGGGTCATCGCCATCGCGCGCTCACGCCAAGGCGACAAGCGACACGTCGTCGTCAGACCTGTCACGGCGCCTGAAGCGGCCCTTCGTGCGCCGTGACGAGGCTGCCTCCAACCATCCCGGCAACTACGACGCCCCCTCGCACGGAGGGAGGCGCCGCACTCCGCCCGCTTACCCGGCGCGTCGCGACGAGGGGAGCCGGAGAAGCTATGGGCCGGCAATGCGCGATCGACAAGCTCCTCGAAGGTATGAGCCGTACAATGATCAAGATCAGAAGGCAGTGCGCCATCAGCAAGTGCCTCGAAGGTACGAGCCGTACGACGATTATGATCAGCAGGCAATGCGCGACCAGCAAGCGCCTCGAAGATACGAGCCGTACAATGATCATGATCAGAAGGCAATGCGCGATCAGCAAGCGCCTCGAAGGTACAAACCGTACAATGAACAAGATCAGAGGCGACAGGGCTACCATGGCGACGAAAGGCAGCAGGATTACCGAGCTCAACGTGGCTACGGGACGCCAAATTTTCCGACGCAACAGGGTAATTCTTATCCTTCAAAGCAGTTCGGCGGGCGGCGCCGCAGGGAGGATGGCTCGTACGGCGGCCGGCGTGTTCCGGCGGAAGAAGTTCAGAACGGCGGGTATCGTCAGTACAGGGAGCGTATTCCGGCGGAAGAAGTTCAGAACGGCGGGTATCGTCAGTACACGGAGCCGCCTCGTGTACACTTTCGTCCTCCTACAGCTCAGCCTTACTATCAGCAGAGGGAGCCGCCTCGTGTGCAGCTTCCTTCTCCTCCAGCCGTCGAGGATGCACTTGCTCGCCGCCCGGAATTCGACCGGGGCTTTGGACCTATGCAGAAGAAGCAGAAGAGGGACGAGTCGGAGCGACACGACATGTCATCCTCCACCCAAGACGACCTCCTTCCGCTGAAGAAGCAGTGGACCAAGAAGCGCCAAGCCCAGGACATGGACTCGACGCTGAATAACTGGATCCCAAAGGCCCGGCGAACCCGGGAGAACTGGTGCGAGTACCACCACAGCGGCCACCACGGCGCGGCCCAGTGCCGTCGACTGAAGCAGCTGAAGCAAATCATCCAGAGGGAGCTGGCGGACGCGAGCAAGGAAGACGACCCACCCAAGGGGCTGCTCCAGGAGATTATACAGATTGAGGGGGAACCATACAGGGCGATCGCCGACGGCTCGAATTCCGACTCCAGGTAGGGGGCTCGGCACCCACGTATCCGTGATCCGGAGTAAGCCTCCGGCGCGACGGCGTGGACAGCCCCCGACACTTGGATCGTCATCACCAGAGCTCATAAATTTTGCGTTTAAGTATGTTTATTCAGGTGCCTACGCGCACAAACCATGTGTGATCTGCTATACAACTTTAAGCCAGGTGAAATTACCTATATGTTTTTCCACTCGTGCATTATTTCCCTTAGTGGTTATATACACCAATAGCACTACAAGTCTCCGGGCCTCGACGGACATGTGCGAAGCTTCTATCAGGCTGCTGAGACACGGCTTTTCGCCCCCATCTCCTTGCAGAATGGCGATGTCAACATTCTCTGCTACGAGCCTTGCTAGCCGGCTGCAACGCCAGATCAATGGCCTCGTCGACGCCGACCGGTCCGGTTTCATCACCGGATGCAGCATTTCCGAGAACTTCGTCTATGCCTCTAAGATGATGCAATGCTGCCACAAGCGTGTCATCCCAACTCTGGTGATGAAGTTGCACTTCGCCAAGCCTTCGATTCAATGAAGGACATTGGTGCAGATTGGGGAAAATTATGGAGATGCATGGCTTGTCCTACCGGTGGTGCGGCTGGATGGATCTCATTGTGGTCCACACCTTCTTAACGGTGTTCTAGGGAAGTGGTTTGCCGTTCGGAGAGGCCTTTGGAGGCGATCCCCTCTCCATGTACCTCTTCCTTCTCATGGTGGACGTACTGCAACATCTGACAGACGACGACCTCCTCCCCCACCCCCTCTTCGACGGGACACCACCAGTGGTCTTGCAGTACGCGGATGACATGCTTGTCATCATGCGTGCCAACCCAAATAGTTGCCGACCACATCGTTTACATGCATGTCAACCCACTCGTGCTAGACACGGTGTGATACGGGCGAACCATGGGGATGGCCCGTTCTTCACCAATAGGATGTGGATTTGAGAAACAACACAAACAACACACAAAAAAAGATGATGGGAGGAATCACACAAGGTACAATAAAAGATATACATAGGATCCAACTCACATACAAGAGAGATGAAACAAGATAGTGTTCTTTCTCAGGTCCTAGGATAAGTTGGGCTTGATATTCCTAGAGCTCCCTCAGGAGGTCTTGTTTTCCATGAGGAGTCATCTTCAATGGAGGAATCCCACTAGAGGAGGTAGATGAGCAAAGTTCTCTTGTCTCTAATCTTTGTTAGCCCTAGATCTTGGAGGGGGGAAGGGTATATATATGTCCTTCCACAAAGGGGGAAGTGGGAAAGGAAAGATACATGGATTGGACCAAATTTAGTGCACACAGGCACGGGTCAGACATTTTGACATGTCGGATATTCTGGCCATAAGTTAGAAGATGCTTCAAGGTTAATTGACCCAACCGATATATTCTGTGATGAGAATCCCTGCTTAGAGCATATCCGACAATTCCCCAACAAACCCCCGCCAATAAGTGGTTATTAGGACTCTCCCCATAATTTAGGGGGGGAGGGGGGGGATGGTCGGTTGTTTTTGCACCTCCCCAATAACTCATCCCAGTACAACCTCATCTATGGGCCTCATTTGGCAATAAGTTATATCTCCCTCAATACCACAACAGAGAACCAACGATGGTGCTTGGCAGTGGTGGCGAGAATGTGATGATGATGGTGGTGAAGCCTGTTGTATAGCGATGACCATGGCAGTGGTTTCTGGTGTCAGCTCCATGGTATTGGGGAGGAGGCAAATGCCCCTCTATAAAGGGGAAGTTCGGGTGTTTTTCTGTGATCACTCAAAAAATATTGAGGAAAGGGGAGCTACCGAAAGGTGAATACTATTCCACGTGTATCGCTTGGAATATAAAACCACATCCGCAAGAGGGGTGTGGTGATCATCCGACACAAGTTGCATCCATTTTTTTCGCTTCATTCATTATGTGTACTTGTTTCTTTGGTTTCTTGCGTTCTCATCAGGTTTTCCCTTTCTTTCTTCTTAATTTTTTGGTTTCTTGTACCTTTTACCTTTTCTCCCCCTTTTCATTTCTTTTGTTTTACCTTTTTCATTTTCCATGTTTTCTATTTTAATTGTTCATTCTCTTTTTAAACATTTGCATGCCTCAACTTTCTTATAAATACATGAAGGTTTTTAAATACGTGTGGAACTCGTAGGAATATGCGACGACCATTTTTGAAGTACACGGTGGATAATTTTAATTAAGATTTTAAAGTTTGAGAAATACGCATTACATTTTGGGAAAAGCTTACCTTCTGCCGGCCGATCTTGATCCCACGTCCGTCGGCTCCGTGTCCGTCGGATCGCCTTTTGATCCAACGGCTGATAGCACCCGTACCCACGCGCATGGGTCTGCAGCTGAGCTGCTGTTTTAGAAACGCTTTCTGCAACAGAGCGCTTGTTGCGGGCCTCTGTGGTGGTTAGATCCAGCAGCGGGGAGGCGGAGCACCATGCGGTTGGGACGGAGGCGGCGGCTGGGTGGTCGACGGCGGCTAGGCAACCGCGGCAGACCAGCCGCGATGGCGATGACGACGGGATCTGAGGTCGCAGACGGCTGCACAAGCAGCAGGTGTGTATCCTTTTTGCAACAAAGACCTTGTTTCAGAAAAAAAATTATTCGGTGGTGAAGTGTTTTTTCAACAATAGGGTCTATTTTTAGAAAGTTTCTGCAACACAGGTCTCGTTTCAAAAAAAATCAAAGATTTTTTTTTCTACAACAAGGTTCCTGCTTCAGAAACATAGGCCCGGTTACAGAAAGCGTTGAAGAAGCACACGATCTTAGAGCGTACAAGGCCAAGAATTGCAACACGACGCGTGTTTCAGAAACATAGCTCCAGTTGCAGAAATCGCAAAGGAGTTTTCGGCATGGGAGCTCGTCACCGCCATGCCAGAGTAGAGGTCGCGCCTGTGCTCAAAGCAGGGCCCCTCGGTGAGCTCAATTTGTGTCAGGTCCAACCATCTGACACACGATATGATGCGCTGGAGTAGCTCCCGCACCGCCCGCGGCGGGCAGATTTTGCCGTCGGTTGGCCGCGGCGCCGCGCGGGGCGCAGCTCTGTCGGAGCCAGCGGCAGGAGTGTTGTTTCTGCAACAGAGCATCTGTTGCGAGAATAACGAGTGGGCATGCGGAACGCGGACACTAGATCAGACGGCTATCAGCTCGGGTATCAACGGCCATTGCGGCGACGGATAAAATCTTAACATCGACCGGCAGATGCATAGCGTCGCCCTTACATTTTTTGGAAATATGGGTGAAATTTTTTAATACATTGAACATTTTATTAACTATGTGTTGTACGTTTTTGGAAGTAATGCTCTACACACTTTATTAATTATACTTTGAATTTTTTTAAGTTTCTTGAAATTTTTATAAAATAGGCATGAAACAATTTTCAAAATCCGTGAACATATTATTTAGGGCGACGCTACGCATCCGCCGGCGGAAATTGAAAAAGATCTGCCGCATCACTGACCATTGGATAGAGACATAATGACCGTCCGATCTATCAATGTAAGCAATCATATTTTGCAACAAGAGTGATGTTTCCGCAACAGTCTGCTTGTTGCGATCACCCGAGTATGTTTTTTTTTGCAATAAAGATCTTGTTGCAGAAATTTTAAATATCAACCGTGCCTATATTTTTTAATTTTGTAGATCTTTTTTGCAACAAGGATAATGTTGCAGAGTTCTTTTTTGCAACAAAGATTATGTTGCGGAAATTTTGTGTCCGCATTGTGGTTGGCTCTCGAGGCCGTGTTACCGCTGCAACATTCCCCATGTTTCAGGAACATGAAGGATGTTGCAGAATCTTAGTACATACGGTGGGTGGGACTAATCCGCACGTAGTTGGCTTCCGAGGGCGGCGGACGCGAGGTGTAGAATCTGTTAGTACATGTGGTCTGTCGGATCAAAAGTGATCCAACGGCTCCACAAACGGTGGACGCGAGAGCGCGATCCGTCGGCAGAAAGGTAACGTTTCCCTATTATTAAATATGTGAAAATTTATATTTTTTGATTTTTTAAATTAGTGAATATTTGTTTATAAAGTTGAATGTTTTTATAATTATTGACTAGTTTAAATTACAAGTTTTTTTAAAAAAAATGAGTAAGAAAATTTAAACTTTTTGAACATTGTTATGTATGCAGATATTTTATAAATGTTTTTTTAAGTTCATGATTTTTAATAAAATTTTATACGCACATATGTTTATTTATTTTTTATATTTTCCCAGAGTGCTCTTCGTTAAGCATAATATTCCCCCGAAATTAGGGAAAACGAGGCCGAATTTTGCCTAAAACCCGGTAAAACTGCGGAAACATGAAATCAATCGCCCGAAACGGTGAATGGGCCAGCCCACGTGGCGATGGCGGTGGTCGTTTATTCCACGCAGCAGGCCCGTCGTTGCTCCCGGAGGTCTCTTGCTCGGATTAGGAGTCGTGGTGTATCTAAAACGTGTCCAGTTAAAGAAAAGGAAGGATTTCTCAAAAAAAAAAGTTAAAAAAGGAAAGGAACAGAGAGAGAGAGTCGTATTCGTAAAGCCTAAACCTATCGATGGAATCGTAAACGTTGATATTCCGTGTTTCCCGAGGCTAATAAATACCTGCGCCGCCGCTGCCACGACAGATCGAGAGGAAGCAAGATCAAGATGGATCCACAAGCGATCTTCGATTTCGACCTAAACCAGGCGCCTCCTTCGGATGATGGCCGCCTCACGGTCGACGCCCGGACGGCTCGGGAACCCTCGCCGTCGCCTCTGGACGATGCCTCGACGGCGCCTCGGCAAGATCCCTTGGCGGCGCGTAAACCCTCGCCGCCGCCTCCCTGTGTTGACGGTGCCTTGACCGGGCGTGAACCCTTACCGCCTCCTGACGGCGTGGGTGATGGCTCGACCTCGGCGCCGGAGATGTTGGACCTGGACGTCTCGCTTTCTCTCTCGGACGATGACGAGGACGAGGCGGTGGAGGGTGAGATCGAATCGCGGCCTCCGTCGTCCTATGATTTGGATGCGCCGCGTTCGCCCGCGCCCACACACTCGCCGGAGAAGATGGCGAGAAGCTGCTCTCCTGAGTACCACGCCGAGGTGGCCGTCGCTCCACCCACCGCGCAGGACATGGGGACGGCGCGCCCATCGTCTTGCATGGACGTCGACGGCACGGCGCCGCCTTCTCGCCGCTACGATGGGCGATCGGCGCGGCCGAGCTGCGAGGCGATGCCAACGCGTCGGCCTTTTCCGGCGCGGTCGTCGTCGGGGTCATCGCCATCGCGCGCCCACGCCAAGGGGACAAGCGACACGTCGTCTTCGCACCTGTCACGGCGCCTCGTTCGCCGTGACGAGGTCACCTCCAGCCATCCAGGCAACTACGGCGACGACATGCCGCCCTCTCAAGGAGGGATGCGCCGCACTCTACCGCGACATGGGCCGGCAATGCGCGGCCAAGAGGCGCCTCGAAGGTACAAGCCATACTTTGAACACGATCAAAGGGGGCATCGTGGCGACGAAGAGCCGCATGGCTATCGAGGCCAAGGGCATCGTGGCTACG